CCCAGTGCTGTGTTTGTCACTGAAAATTTCTATAATGAGGAATAAAGTTTGAAGGGAAGATCATTGCTTAGCTTTTCACATTTAATTAAAGTGTGTAAGTAAATGTTTATTACAATGAAAAGCAAATAATAAAGAAACAAATCAGTACTGTATTCTACACTATTTCAAGTTAATCTGATATTTACTTTTTCACAAACAATTATCTCATCTAAAGTAATGGGGAAGAAATGAAACTGTCTTTTTAGAACAAACTGGAAAATCTGTCAATCTAGAACATTGATCCAAAATACAGTATAATTTATAGCATAATTTTGATGTTCAGCTACTAATCAAAACATTAAGTTTCTTCAGAACTAACTGAAATATTTGCATAGTTTAGCAGTCTGAAATCTCATAGATTTAGAGCTTAATACATAACAAGAATTGAAAAGATTATGGAGATTCGGCATGATCTTGAGCCAATGCTGTTCAAAGAAAATGTGTAAGACAAAAAGGCCCTTAGGAAGTGTTACCTGTGAAGTGCCACTTATCCCTAAGTGGAATTTAACACAAATCTCTAAAGATGAAACTCTATCAGAAGTAACAGAATAATAGCAGTTGGTCATACCAACCATAACAACCCACTCTGTGTGTGTGTGTTCTTTCTGTCTCTCTCAGATCAATCACTCTTGCAGTTTTCTCTCTTGTCTCCTTTGCTCCCCTTCTCTTTTGTTCTTCCTCTCTTCCTCCTCCATTCCTCCATCCTTCTTCCCTCCCTGAGAGATCTCTGTGTCATTTGACTCATGATGACCTTAAATTCATCTGTGTCATTTTATACACAGCTGTATTTGTCATTCTAGTTTCCTAGAATACTAATTTTTTTAAAGTACCATTTTTATTTTTGCTTTGTATATATTTCGGATTTTTCCTTCCATACAAGATTGTGAGTTAAATTTGATTAAATAAAACCATCAATATAGTAGAGTTTTTATATCTCCTCTAATAAAACCATCACTCATTTTGTACTTTTGCTAATTTTATCACTTGTCTTTCTTCCATATAAGGGGAAATCTGCCTATGGTTGCAACATTGGAAATCATGGAATTATTTTTGAAAAAGTAGTTTGCTTTCACTTAAGTTTTTGTTTAGTGATTGTGGTTTAACACAAGGTTCTTTTAGCTTAATCTCAGAAATTCTGTGATTTAGCTTTTCTGTTAGAACAGTCAGATATTAGCCTAATATGCTTTACATTGTACCCTCCTAGTCAGGTTCTGTCTGCATTAACCAGTTTATTCTATGACAGGTTGCTTAACAGATGTCATTCTGGGAGAACAATGAAGCCAAATACTTGTGCAATGGCTAACATTACTCTAACTTTGATCACTTTTGTGCAGCACATCAGTCTGGCGTTGTGCTTTATACCAACATAACACTATAGCCAGAACATGCTTTTCAGGCTTAGAATAGCAAAGGAATGCTATTCAATTCAGTGCAGTTACAGATGAGTTAATGGAAGAAGAAAAATACTGTTTATTTCATAATACCCTATTGTTGTGTTTTGGAATTAAGGTGGAATTTAAAGAATTCCACTCTGAAATTATTAGTTTATATACTCAACTCATAGTATTTGTGTATATTCTCCAAAGCTGGGGTAGCCTTTCCACCTTTCCAATAGATGTAAATATTTGTCCTGCTTTTCTTCCCCGCACCCCGCCTCCCCCGCCACACACACACACACAAAATACCTGATGGAGTTTGGTGTATCTAGACAACATAATTCAAAAATAAATTTAAGAAAGGAACTTTTTTTGTCTTGAGGCCTGAAGTCTCCTCATACTCTGTTCTACTGTTCTTTCCTTTTCTTTTATTAATGTAAATGTTTAAGCATGAATAAATAGCCTTAGCTAGTGCAAGTGGCCAGAGGTTAACCTAGTTGCATTTGGTTAAGTCGCTGGATTGATAATGACTAATGAAAATTTCCAAACTTGATGTGACTGACCATAAACAAAATATTGCATGGTAGACTGGCCATTGCTAAGAACCTCTAAAGAAAAGCTGGTTTGTTTGAACTGAGTGAGGATCAAGCCATGCCCCCAAGCTCCTCCGTTCTCATTTACTAATTCTTTTTTTCACAGGTGTACATTAGAGATAAAAATAGATTGAGTTCCATGTTTTGTTTTGTTTTGTTTTTTTCCTTTCCCCAGTGACTATATATCTCCATTTCACTGGAAGGGTAACTTAGATGTGCTTAGGTATAATAAATAGTAATGTGATACTGAATGCTGTAACTGGACAACATGGTACTTTTAGACTGCTGCATTTTTAAAACATGAATGACTGCTGCTTATTTTCTATATTGAAGTTGTATTATAGAACAGATTATATGCAACATTTCAATTCATTAATACAGTAGGGTAATACTGTAACTAACCTGAAGAATTAGTTAAGATGTATAATTTCTCCATTCTCACAAATTTGTTCATTTATTTAATTTGTAAATATGGGATGAAATAGAATTTTTATAACCTATTTAGAAAAATGAAGAAAGACATACTTCTTAATTACTAGACAACATAAAATTTAAACTTCAAATATTTTATTCTGATAAAATTACCTACTCTTCTCTTAAACTGAAAGACATAATGTTACATGTTGAGAAAAATTAGTTTTTTATCAATATAGTAGAGTTTTTATATCTCCTCTAATAAAACCATCACTCATTTTGTACTTTTGCTAATTTTATCACTTGTCTTTCTTCCATATAAGGGGAAATCTGCCTATGGTTGCAACATTGGAAATCATGGAATTATTTTTGAAAAAGTAGTTTGCTTTCACTTAAGTTTTTGTTTAGTGATTGTGGTTTAACACAAGATTCTTTTAGCTTAATCTCAGAAATTCTGTGATTTAGCTTTTCTGTTAGAACAGTCAGATATTAGCCTAATATGCTTTACATTGTACCCTCCTAGTCAGGTTCTGTCTGCATTAACCAGTTTATTCTATGACAGGTTGCTTAACAGATGTCATTCTGGGAGAACAATGAAGCCAAATACTTGTGCAATGGCTAACATTACTCTAACTTTGATCACTTTTGTGCAGCACATCAGTCTGGCGTTGTGCTTTATACCAACATAACACTATAGCCAGAACATGCTTTTCAGGCTTAGAATAGCAAAGGAATGCTATTCAATTCAGTGCAGTTACAGATGAGTTAATGGAAGAAGAAAAATACTGTTTATTTCATAATACCCTATTGTTGTGTTTTGGAATTAAGGTGGAATTTAAAGAATTCCACTCTGAAATTATTAGTTTATATACTCAACTCATAGTATTTGTGTATATTCTCCAAAGCTGGGGTAGCCTTTCCACCTTTCCAATAGATGTAAATATTTGTCCTGCTTTTCTTCCCCGCACCCCGCCTCCCCCGCCACACACACACACACAAAATACCTGATGGAGTTTGGTGTATCTAGACAACATAATTCAAAAATAAATTTAAGAAAGGAACTTTTTTTGTCTTGAGGCCTGAAGTCTCCTCATACTCTGTTCTACTGTTCTTTCCTTTTCTTTTATTAATGTAAATGTTTAAGCATGAATAAATAGCCTTAGCTAGTGCAAGTGGCCAGAGGTTAACCTAGTTGCATTTGGTTAAGTCGCTGGATTGATAATGACTAATGAAAATTTCCAAACTTGATGTGACTGACCATAAACAAAATATTGCATGGTAGACTGGCCATTGCTAAGAACCTCTAAAGAAAAGCTGGTTTGTTTGAACTGAGTGAGGATCAAGCCATGCCCCCAAGCTCCTCCGTTCTCATTTACTAATTCTTTTTTTCACAGGTGTACATTAGAGATAAAAATAGATTGAGTTCCATGTTTTGTTTTGTTTTGTTTTTTTCCTTTCCCCAGTGACTATATATCTCCATTTCACTGGAAGGGTAACTTAGATGTGCTTAGGTATAATAAATAGTAATGTGATACTGAATGCTGTAACTGGACAACATGGTACTTTTAGACTGCTGCATTTTTAAAACATGAATGACTGCTGCTTATTTTCTATATTGAAGTTGTATTATAGAACAGATTATATGCAACATTTCAATTCATTAATACAGTAGGGTAATACTGTAACTAACCTGAAGAATTAGTTAAGATGTATAATTTCTCCATTCTCACAAATTCGTCCATTTATTTAATTTGTAAATATGGGATGAAATAGAATTTTTATAACCTATTTAGAAAAATGAAGAAAGACATACTTCTTAATTACTAGACAACATAAAATTTAAACTTCAAATATTTTATTCTGATAAAATTACCTACTCTTCTCTTAAACTGAAAGACATAATGTTACATGTTGAGAAAAATTAGTTTTTCATCTTTAATAGTACTTAAAATGAAAAGTATCATTACTGTATTTTCAGGAAGGGCCTAAATAGTATTTAAATATATGGCTCTCAGTTAATAACCACTTTGTTGAAATAGTTTTTGATTTAGGATAATTTCAAAGAAATAACTTATGCTGCTTTTATTAATAAGTTTTTATATCTTTGAAACTTATATCAAACAGAAAACTTCAGATTTTTCCTCCTGCCCTCTCCCCAAAAAGACTATCACCCATCTCTCCCCTACGTGGAATCCTGAAATATCTTTTGTCTGAATCTTGAGTCATTTTAAAAATTAAATAGATTATAAAAATTTATAATTATAGTCCATCCTAGGTGAATCATGTACCTGAAGTTTCTTGACTGAAAAGAAACTTGAAACCATCCAAGAATATAAAAACAATTAATGGGACGCTGTTTCTTGAACTATTTCGTCTAGCCTTCATTGAGAATCTGCTTTCAGATTTGACTTAGATTTTTTTTACAAAGTTTTTCTGACTTGTGTGTTTCTAGTTTCAAGTTCTTGTCTTGAATATAGAAGAAAACAGAGGAAATATAGTGTATATCACATAAACTGACTGGCAACTATTATAAGTCATGTGGAAACCCTATTTTAATTATGCTCTTTCTTTTGTATAGGTAAAGAGAAATGTGTATGACCTTACAAGCATCCCTGTTCGCCATCAGCTATGGGAGGGCTGGCCAATTTCTGCCACAGATGACTCAGTAAGTGACAGTTGAGTTATCAGGTTCATGTCATCCTCTCTCTTTTGCCACTTTCAGTCTTATTGGCTGCTGTAATAAGCAGGCTCAAATGCTTTGTATGTTCCATTGAAAGAATTTTGTAAGTCAGATAATATGAAAATAAGAATATTTGTAATAATTCAAATTCACTTACAGAACAAATGTCATAAGCCCCCTGTATCAGCAGTCTGTTGGTAAGGTTACATTATCTGTCAGGAACTTGATGCTGCTTGATTTGACCAAAATTTTTTCCTGAATTACAGATATCTCAATATAACCTAATAATTATTTTTAACTTTAATACTACATTTCCTTGTAGACTGGCACTTTTTTAAAAAGTTACTTTTTATAGTTAATATTATTAGCACTCTGTTCTTAAATTTACCTATAATTTTCACTACCATAAAAAAACTGGAAGAAAAGATTGTCATTTTTACCTATTATTATATCTACTTACAGTGGTTTCCCCACTATAAATTTTGAAACCTTTCCCATCTCTACCCTGCAGGGATTATTCTTTTCTAAGAGAGTAAATTTTATCATCTAAGAAAACCAATTGAAATTATATATAGCCACTTTTATCCATAATCTTGGTTGTTCTAAACAGATACCCATTTTTTAAGTAAAAAATGAGGATATTTCAAGAATTCTGAAGCTAAGTCTATTTTTAAAAGAAATTGAGGCTTTCTGTACATCTAGCAATATCTAAATAATGATCATGGCTAAGAATTTGATTACCTTTTTGTAAATATTACAGACATTGTATTTTAGTAATTTATTCTTTTCTAAGAGAGTAAATTTTATCATCTAAGAAAACCAATTGAAATTATATATAGCCACTTTTATCCATAATCTTGGTTGTTCTAAACAGATACCCATTTTTTAAGTAAAAAATGAGGATATTTCAAGAATTCTGAAGCTAAGTCTATTTTTAAAAGAAATTGAGGCTTTCTGTACATCTAGCAATATCTAAATAATGATCATGGCTAAGAATTTGATTACCTTTTTGTAAATATTACAGACATTGTATTTTAGTAAATATTTTTCCATCTGGATAATAATACCTCCTCCTTTCTCAGCACCATCTTTATATATTTTAATATAAAAGAATTCTTTTTAAAAGATGGAAACATTTTTAAATAATTTGTTTATGGTATATGTTACCCGAGTCTAATTATTCCACAGTTTAAACACTGTACCATTAGAAAATCATTTGTGGATTGTGAAGCTTTTAAAATACTCACTAAGTAGCACAATTTTTTTTTAAGTGAACCCTTCCAGAAAAAAAAAATGTGTATGTGAACACTTTATTTATTTATAAACCATTGATTTTAACATAGATATTATAGTATATCATTAGAATTATTGTCTGGTTGTCCATGACTAAATAGGTAGGGATGTGGTTTTTGTTTCAGTTTTTCTTCCCCTGTTAGAGTAAGAAATTTGACAGAAAACATGCTACCTTTATTTTTAGGAAAATAAGAGAGTAATGTTCATAAATGATAACCTTCTATCTATCTGGGGAGACATGAAGAAACTAGAAATGTCTTAGCATTGTCTAATAACCTGCTATAAGAAATAAATATATTATAAAAGAAAATAATAAAGATCTGAGCATGTCACTTAAATTCTGTGAGCTTCAGTTTCCTCACTAGTAGCATTGTATTGAGGATTAGCAATAATATCTGTATAGTACTTGGCTTACAGTAGACACTCAAATTAGAGTCAGTATTATAATTATTATTGACAACTCAGAAAAGGATCATAGTTAAGAACTGGTTGGTTTAAGTAAATGAAATGGTTCTGAGATTCGCTTCAAAATAACCTGTGCAGTTGAAGGCATGAGTCAGAGTATATAGATAAATGCAAATTAGCCACCTATTGATTACTGTTGAAATAGGGTGATGCATATATTGAGTTTATTATACTATTTTCTTAACTTTTGTATATATTTGAAAATTTCTACAATAAAAAGTTCAAAGCAAAAGTAATTGTCTGGTATAAGGGCAAGAACATAAGGTAATAAAGTCCAGAACTGTGGGGCTTTATAGGGTTGGAAAAGCAACTGCTCTTGAACCCCACACTTGTAGAAGGCAGACTGAGATAGGCTTATCAGATGTAAGTTCCAAGAATGATTGACAAATTCAGTGAAATGTAATAAATTCTGTAGCATAAGGCCTTATACATTTTAGATGTTGAATCATTAAACTGAGTTGGCACAGTCTTTTATGAGGCCCACCTTTTAATGATTATTACAACATTTTTTTATCAAAGAGTTCTAATGCAATTTCACTACCGTAGGAAAATATGGAAAGCAGCTAAAACTGACCATATCCAAGACTAATACTACCTGGTGCTATATCTGAGTCACAGCACACACAGGAGGGAATCTCCATTAAGAGGCTTCATTCTTTTTGCCTCATTATTCATATTTGCACCTTGTCCCAGAACCTGTGAAACATGCCTGCCCACACCTCCCCAGAGCAAATGTTGCCACATTGGCAGGATGTTGCTTTGAGCTGCATGATTTGATACAACAAAGATGTTTAGGGCCAGGCTGCTTTTATCTGGTGCCATAAGCAGATCCACTAGCTCCAGTGCTTCAGTTTGGCAAAAATGGCTTATAACTGTGGTCTTCTAAAGAGATCCTTGCCAAAGAAATGTCATGAAACCTTTCTTTCATTGGGATTATAATAATTCATAAGGTTGGTGCTTGTAATCTATATTGTTGCAGGCATGGTGTTTTTATACTTATTTAAATCACTCAAGTGGAGGCATCTGCCACAAAACAAATCGTCCTCACAGCTTAGGGCATGAATTGGGTACAGCTGAGAAATGTCAGCTGTGTAAACAGCCTGAAATGTGTTACCAACAAAAATATAATTAATTTCTTTCCAAGACAGTGTGCCATAACTTAATACTTAGAATGATTTAACTTTCAGAGAAAGCACCTGAACATTTTCTTCCCGTTGCCAGAGCAGAGGATTGGTTATAAAGGTCAATAAAAGTGAGCTTAGTTTCACTTTGCCTGTTCAGTTGCAGAAATTTGTTTGGCTTTGAAAATATAGTAGCTGTAGATATCAGTGACTTCCAGGAATTTGTGGAAATATCTATTGGATGGTTGAAATGTTTTAAAATTAGATGATGATGATGGTTGCACAACTGTGTATATTTACTAAAAATCATTGAGTAAACACTTAAAAATGAGTAAGTTTTATGACATGTAAATTACACATCAATAAAGTAATTTTTAAAGTTAATTAAGAACTAGATTAAAATACTTTTTGTTTCCATTTTTATTTGCATGAGAAATACTTTGCAGTAACAGATGCTTTCTTCAGTGTACTTCTCATTAACCTTTTGACTTGGGAAATAGGACAAAGAACTAGAGTTCTTATAATTAGATTCTTGTACACTATAATCTTGAATCTCTTGAGAACCTGAAGACTACAGTCTTCTGACATATTCTGTGCTTCTCAGTGAAGTCAACAATCACTTAAAACATTGTTGCCCCATTTCCCTTTAGAGTTAAAACATGTTCTTTGCTTATAGTTGTACTCTAATCGGGTATGGGATACTGTATGAATTTTCAATAACTCTTTCAGTTCCTTTTACACTTTTTCACCAGGGAAATAGGTATCTGAAGCTTCACTAGTAGGGGAATGTTTTCATGCTGTGACAGTTCATCTGTGAGAATAAGGAGTTGCTAGTAGGCGAAATCTCATTTTACACTTTAACAAGGACACTCTTGGTTTCCAGAGAGTAGAAATAATTTTAACAATGTGAATTATGTATAGACAGATTATAAATGCAGACAGTTTGAATATATGTTTTTTTTAATTACAGGTTTTAATCATGCTTATTCAAAAGAGAAAAATCCCTCAGTTTTTAATACTTTTTGCTATGCCCCTGTTTTTTTCTTTTGAGCTTACTAATGGTCTTCTGCATATCCTCTGGCTAAGGAATGTTGACTCAGAATTTTAGAAATTAGGAATTTTAAAATCAGAGGTCTTTAGATGTTTGATGTGTTTTAGGAGTCTGAAAGCTACTTATTAGATATTTTCACATTAAAAAAGATCATTTTTAAGCAGAACCATTACATGGTGACTTTTCTATAAAATAAAAATAAAACAAAAACACACACCCCTCCTTCCTTTCTTCTTTTTAAATAAAAAAGAATTTGTGAATGTGGAATATCATCTACTTTGATTCTTCTAGTTGAGTTCATTTTCTTCTGTAACTTCTGCCCTATTCATAATTTGGCAGGTGTCAAATTAGGAACATGCTGCTTGACATTGGCTCCTTGTCCTCCACTTAACAGAAGTACTGTCCAAATACAGACTTGCGAAATTATCACACACTTACCATGCTGTAGTTACCTATTAAGAAAACTCATAAGCCCCCCTATGGTCATTTCATCCATTGCTGAAAAGTTAGTATTTCTGAAGTGCAGAATGAATCACATTTAGCCTTGCATACTTTTCTTCAATTGCAACCCAGATACAGATTGCTGATCTAGATACAGATTTTTATTTTGGCATACAAAACTCTTTATTTTCCCATAGAGGCCCAGAGTAAATGCTTAATAAATATTTCTTGGATAAATGATTGCATATGATTCCATATATATCTCAGCTTTAGCTTAAATCTTCACTTTGCTATTCCTCCGATATACTTGGTGCTGTCTCCCACTCTGTGTCACTTAATTATACTATTCCTTCGATGTAGAATGCCTACTGCAGTTATCACCTTTAAGACCTTTCTTTACGAAACTGCTTATATACCTCTTCCCATACCACCTTCTCCAAATCTTTTAGAAATTAGTTTATATTCCTAGTATTTTATTTAAGTTATTTTCACTTTTCCCTATCATGTTCTTTCCTTCCTTCATTCCTTCCACCTGGCTCCTGCAGACAACCTTGAACAACTATTAATTTACCTCTCTGAATCTCAGTCTCAATACTTGTAGAACACAGATAATA